AGTTTTTTGATAGAGCCTTTAGGTTTTTCTATGTATAGTATCATGTCATCTGCAAATTGGGCAGTTTGACTTCATCTTTTCCAATCTGGATGCCCATTATTTCTTTCTCTTGCCTGATTACTCTGGCTAGTACTTCCAGTACTGTGTTAAATAGAAATGGTGAGGGTGGGCATCCTTGTCTTGTTCCTGTTCTTACAGGAAAAGTCTTTAGTTTTTCCCCATTCAGAATGATACTGGTAGTGGGCTTGTCATAGATGGCTTTTATTGTGTTGAGATACTTTCCTTCTGCACCCAATTTGTAGAGAGTCTTTATTAGAAAGGGATGTCGAATTTTGTCAAATGCTTTTTCAACATCTATTAAGCTAATCATATGGTCTTTGTCCTTGAGTTTGTTGATGTGCTGTATCATATTTATTGACTTTCATATGTTGAACCATCCTTGCATCCCTGGGATGAATCCCACTTGAGCATGGTGTGTAATTTTTTTGATGTGTTGCTGTATTCTGATTGCTAATATTTTGTTGAGGATTTTTGTATCTATGTTCATTAAGGATATCAGCCTGTAATTTTCTTTTTTTGTTGTGTCTTTATCTGGTTTTGGTATCAGAGTTATGTTTGCCTCACAGAATGTGTTTGGGAGAATGGTTTCTGTTTCAACTTTTTGGAATAGTTTGAGGAGAATTGGTATTAATTCCTCTTTGAAGGTTTGGAAGAATTCAACTGTAAAGCCATCCAGACTTGGGTTTTTCTTTGTTGGAAGATTAATGATTACCACTTCAATCTCACTGCTTGTTATTGGTCTGTTCAGATTTTCTACCTCTTCTTTGTTGAGTCTTGGTAGTTTGTATGTGTCCAGAAACTTATCCATATCTTCCAGGTTTCATATTTGTTGTCATTCAGTTGTTTATAATAGTCTCTATTGATTCTTCATATTTCTGTGGTATTGGTTGGAATGTCTCCCTTTTCATTTCTGATTTTTGTTATTTGGGTCTTTTTTTTTTNCCATTCTTTTGATGTGTTTATTGCAATAAATTTGCCTCTTAGTACTGCTTTTGCAGTGTCCAACAGGTTTGGGTATGGTATCTTTATTTTCATTAATTTCAAGAAATTTTTTGATTCCTTGTTTAATTTCTTTTTCGACCCTTAGGTTTTTGTTATTGTTCATTTGTTTGTTTATTTAGCATTAGTAACTGTCTTAATTAGAGTCAACCCAATTACTTCATTTTTCTTTTCTATATTACATTTCAAAATTCCTTGTGGGTAGGATCAATCAAAAAAAAAAAATGACTTGTGCTGACCCAATTACACATCCCACTCAAGGTCCTGGGTCTTTAAGATGAGAAGTGATTTGTCAAATCTTTGGATGCTTATGTCTCTGTTGAAATGGCTACGGAGGTTAAACTTGAGATAAAATTTCAGTATCATCTGCTATTTTCATAACAGCTAAATCAAATTAATTATTTGAAGATCGTAATCTCCTTGGCTTTGTCATATATTTCTGTATTTTTAACAGAGTCTCCCATGAGACATGTGGCATGCCAGCATAGCTTTCTCCAAAAGTTATGCACCCAACCTACTTACACTTGCAGACAGTCTCCCCAGGGGTCATCAAAATCTGTAAATTAAGTCTTATGATTTTTATGGACAATCTCTTTAATGCTGACTTTCCTATTTAGAATTTATAACACATCATGTAGAATGTTGTCTGTGCATAAAAATGTTATTAATTCTATCATATAACTTGGTCCCCAGTATGTGTTTTACTCATAAAATGAACTCATTATATGTAAACTGTACAATTTTTCTGATGAAATCATTGCCGATTACCTGAAAATAAACTTTCTCAATCTAAAAACATAATTTTCCATTATTAGGCCTCAAATATACCTTGTTCTCAAATTCTTGAAACATGATCAAGAGGTGGATTTTATGTACACATTAAAGCTGTGTTTAGTAGAGGAATAATTCCAGCAGGCTCTCAAGATATTTTCTAAGTGTGTTATCATTATAAGACCCATGGTTAATTAGAGACTTTATGCATAGAATCCATAATGAA